GTATATGTATGTGTATGTGTATGTCTATCTACCTATCTATGCATGAGCTTAGGAGTAGTTTGTTCCTGCTTCGATTTCCATTTCAGGACTCCCTACATACTAACCACCCACCAAGGCCCAATGCAAAGCAAGCTCCGAAAGGGTCTTTTGGCTTGAGCAAGCCATTCCCGCGGGCTTAAATAAGCCCAATAAAACTTTTGTACCCCCATACCTATACCCGAATAACGGAACCCGCAAACACCCGAACATCCCCAATGACTGAAACGAAGCCCTAAAACCCTAAACCTTACAAGTTTCAAGTGCAGCGGCCATGGGGCAGAGTTCCAGCCAGGGCTGCTGCGAAACCAGTGAAACCCTCGAACTTGAGCACGTCCCTTGGTTGCTTTTGTGGCATGACAAATAAGTGGCGATTTGTTTTTATAATGGTGGCACAGGCGTTGTTCAGGGCATGTAAGTTGTTGCCCATAATGGTTACTGCTTGGGGTTGCTTAGGGCTGAGTGGCAACCCAGGTCAAAGCTGAAGCCAGGGGAACAGCGCCAGAACTTCCCAAAGTGGAAAGCCAGGAACGTCTGGCGAATTCTCTGCCCTGCGAGCTTACGCCGGTGACCATTGCCAAGTCGAAATGTACAGACCGAGACCTCATGCAGTTGAACGAAGAGTTGGTGCGAGGAGTTCCACTACGTCAAACTTTACAGTCCTGGGGAAGGCTTTGGCGTTTGAAGCCGGTGGAGATGGATTCTGTGCAGCAGGCCTGCATCTACGAATATTCCAGGCAGGTCAGCCGTCTGGATAAGTTCCTGTCGCACGCCTGGCATACCCCTGGATGGAGAAAGTTCGTATCGCTTCTTGTCCAGTCCGGCTCCCCATTCATGCTCGCCTGCTGGACTATAGGCACAGGCCTCGCCTTTGCCCTTTGCATGATGGATGTTCTGCCTTTGTTCTACACCACAAGAACGTGGGCCCAACACCAGGACGGTTGGGTGTCTCCTTGGTAAGAACATGCTGCACTAGGCTCATGGTCCTGAAAAACATCTCTCTTGATGTGTATCTTTATGATCCCAAAACCAAAATACCTAAACCCTAAACCTATAGATCCAAAGCCTTGAAGCGGTATTCGACCAGAATCCCTAAACCCTAAACCCTAAATCCATTGCAAAGCCCTTTAAAGCGGTAGAAGCAGCCCTGCGGCAGGACATGGCTATAGGATGCTGGGTGACGCTGGCCGGCCTGGCGTCGGGAATCGGCAGCTTGCTGGTGGTTGGAAGGAAATGACGGAATGGGCAGGCAAACGAAACTGCGGTTTAGGGCGTATGGTATCGGATGGTCAGGGAATCCATGAATGAATAGGACGGAATGGGCAGGCAAACGAAACTGCGGTTTAGGGCGTATGGTATCGGATGGTCAGGGAATCCATGAATGAATAGAAGATGGAAATACTTTATATCTTATGGCCTTTAGGGCGGTGGTTAGATGGTAGTGGAATCATAGGGAAGCCATATGGGGTTTGTCAATAACGTATGACGTCTCCTCCTTCCCTATATACCGACAAGCAGCAAGGAAGCTTGCTGGTTTTTCCATATCTGCCTCGCAGTGGGCCGACATGCTTCCTGGATTTGGTATGTGTCCATCAGACAGACGAAGCCCTTATGAAGCAAGGGATCTACAACATCGGAGGCGTCCTGTCCGTTTCCGCAAACTTGCACGTGCTGTGGAGCGCGCCGTACTTGTCCAGGTGAGGGATCTTGAAGTTCCCCCCCCCCCTATATAGTTGCCAAGCTTGTAAAGTCCTGCAGACCAAACCACAGCATTAATGTTCCATAAACGGTAGGAGCAATAACGGCATACAGTCAAGCCTATGGGTGCGGTGTCTACACTTACACGGTCCCTCAGGTTGTGGTGTGTGTTTGAGCTGGCGGCATATCGCAAGATGAACCCCGCTGGAAGGATTACCATTGCCCCGCTATATCTCGAGAACTTTGCATGCCAGGTTTTCCTGTGCCTCCATGCTATCAGCATCGTGCTATCCTTCGGAAGAATATTTTATGATTTGGGCCAAGTATTTACGCTGTCACTGCTGGGAGGAGCGAGTGTTTGCTCGTTTCCCCTGGCATACTCGCTGCGGCAACACAGCCTTGAAAGACAGCGACTCCTTTCAGGCTTGGACACCTTTGAGGTGAGGGAGGCATGGCCTCGGCAAGTATCATTTTCCAACATCTGCAAACCTGTATGTGTAGATAAACATAAGGATGGATATTTTCTGTATGTGGTTTATGTGCTATTCGTTGGCTTATTTTGTACACATGTGTACCCCCCCTATACTCTGTCACTAGCCGGTGACAGTGTTTATATACATCCTACAGACTTATCCTATATAGATATGTATGTATGTATGTATGTATGTATGTATGTATGTATATATATATATATATCTATATATGACCCCTTCCCCCTAGTATCAAAAGAGAGGGCTCCGCTCCACCCCAAAAAAACATTCGGACAGTGTTTTATTGATATAGTATTTTTATCTCTACGGTCTTTTTTGAGGGATCTTTCAACTGCTCCTGCATCTCTTGCTCTCGCTCATGCAACTGCTTTTCCTCTTGCTATTGCTTCTGCTCTTCCTCTTGCTGCTGCTCTTGCTTTTGCTCTTGCTCTTGCTCTTACTGCCGCTCTTGCTCCGGACCCCCCAATGAAAATTAGGTTTTAAAAGGGCAGGGGTGATTTCGGGAGGATTGGCCTCGAGGTGCTTGTAGTATTCGGGGAGTGCTTTTTCAATGGGTGAAGTGATTTGCCGTGTGCTTTGTATGGCTTCGTGTCATACTACCGCATATTGTGACGTGTATGTGTATATACTTGCGTATATATATATATATGTGTATATATATATACACATACATACACAGAAACATCTTTATTTGTTGTGCTGTGTCCCTATATGCAGCCATGTAGAGCCCAACGCATCGTTGCTGCATGTCAATTTTAGGAAGTGGAGTGCCGCGACGAATTCGACCGGAAGTATATACACGACGCTATCAAAAGTTGGTACGGCAGCTTAGATGCTTTTTCCGAGTACGTTCGCGGCCCTTTCCGGGAGGAAGTGCATCTTAATTTTCAGCTTCCCCTTGTTTACCACGGCATCATCATGACCCCGTTGACCGCATTTTGTCTGGATTTTGTTGTGGCAATGGTCAAGTCCAATGCACCTGCTGAAGATGTGCTGGCTTACATCTTGGGTTTCATGGTGGCTCAAAATATGCTGTGGTATCCTGCTACCCTGACTCTTCTCATCTATGCCTGCGAACACTTGCCAGCAAGCGCTTTCAAAGGAAATCTGTATTTGCAGACTTTGGCGATATCGGGCAGCTTGTGGTTGCTGTACGCCCTGGGACTTGCTATTGCCTTAAATGCTGCCGCATCCGAGCGTTGGTGGGAAGCACCTCTCTGGACGGTGGCGGCATTGGTGTTTGCTGGTGTTTCGCACCCTTACTACCCAGCAGAGTTGGTAGCCTTCAACCATAGCATTTTGGGGTCCACAGACTCTTGAGATACTGAGAGGTTAAACTTTTGTTTCGACTACCCAGGTATCGGTGTTGCTGGCGGCAGAAGAACCGAAGCTGCGCCTCTTGCATCGCCGAGGGAATTGCTTGACTTGACATGGGTCAGACGGTGTGAGCGTCGGGTTCAATTCTTTTGAAATTTTGAAGATCTGCACGATTTTTCGTATCAGCAGCAGCAGGTCGGCTTGACCACTAATGTTATAGCAGCCTAAATCCTTGTGTGAGCTTATGCGAACTTACCTCGATTTTGAGTTTATGCTCTATAGTACATGACAGTCACTGCGCCGCTCGTGACATTGTGTCACGCCCTTCAGCCAACGCTGGAAACTAGGACTGCTAGGAAAGCCTGCATGCTCAACGTGACCGGCGTGTGCATGCATGCAATCATGTACATGTGCAAATGTGCTTATGTCTGTACTCATGCATGCTTGTATGTACGTGTTGATGTATGCAGTTTATGTTATACGGGTACATGTAGTGCACGCACTGTCTGTGATGGACTGTGCACAGTATGCAGTGAAGGGATGTGTTTGTTCGCGTATGCGCCCATGCTTACATGCAGACTTGCATACATAAGTTTGCATGTGTGCAAGTGTGCCTCCGCATGTACACACATGCACATGCTTGTATACAGACTTGTTCATGCACGTATACATATACATATACAAGCAGACACTCATGTACCCACACGCACACGTATTTTGGCATACAGTACATGCATACGTCCACTGTATGCTCACATACACACATACGGACACGCACATTGTCACATGCAGACGCACACACACACACATATATATATATATACATATACATATATACATATATACATATATACATATATCTGTACACATACATACCTACATACATACATACGTACATACGTACATACGTACATACATATATATATATATACATATGCACGCACACACAAAGGACATACCTACATGCCTGTGCCCACACACATTCACACAGGCACACATGTGCACGCATACGTATTCCATGCATACGTACAGTTGTATACTTACATGCGTACCTACATACATGCGTAGATACATGTATACATGCAACCACCTATCAACGCAGACAGCTTTTTTTTCGTGCATGCGTTGTATTGTATACGTACATACTTACTGTACTCACGCAGTTTTTCATTTATCTACTTACATGTACACTTACATGCTTGCTTGCTTGATTGCTTGCTTGGTTACCTGCCTGCCTGCCTGCCTGCCTGCCTGCCTGCCTGCTTGCTGGCTTGCTTGCTTGCTTACATACTTGCCGACACATACATAGATGACGCAGGGACAAAGATAAATAGATTCATACACCGTCAAACACGCTTGCTCACCCTGTACGAGCATGCTGGCCAACCGCGCGCCGAGCCGCGCTGAGCACGGCTCTGGCTCACCTGAAAAGGCTTAAAAGGCAAGCGACATGATGTATAGGGGTTTCGAAGTTGTCTTCGGTGTGCGACTCTTCCGGACCCACCGAGCCAGAACGCGGACCTGGAACACCGGCCAGCCGTAGGCAGGTGGTTCCAGGTCATGTCTCGACACGGCCAGAGCTGTCCCAAAGCGTGGACCTACTGCGGGAGGGCCTAGCTTCCCCTGTCGTCGATCAGGCTTGGGCCGGCAGGGAATCCATGGATGTCGTCTCTGTTGTCGGAGTGGCGGTCCCAGATATCGATGATCACAGAAGCTTGCAGTTGAGGGTTCTTTGGCCCATTGAACTCTTGAACTCTCAAGGTCGTCGTACATGACTTGCACATCTTTCGCCTCGCTCCGCTCGCTTTGGCCAACTGAGGATACCGACGGTGCCGGCACGCCAGTCCGTGGAGGCGAACTTTATGTGGAGGAGTGCCTGCAGCTGATGTGTAGCTCTTCCCCAAGGGAACGTCAGAATGACGGCTGCAGTAAGTTGAATCAACCCGGACTGCCTTGGTTGTGATGCATTAGTACAAGTAAAGAGTGATGGCACGGCAAAGTGGGACCAACTCATGGCGGGCCCTTCGTTGGTTTCTCGCAACCAGTACGTAAAAATTGTGATACGACTCGACACCCCCCCTGCCGCGGAAGACTGCATGTCTTAGCAAGGGCCTATAGCCTTCAAATCTCAGAACACCTTCAAGTTTGCCGATGTGCACCACCTGCCGCTGGTTCAACGTAGCCCTAGTAGCCCAGGGCTACCAGAAAGTGTCTCACCGTTCAAACGACCTGGGGCTCATGGGCTTAGGGGTTCAGGGTTCAATGTCGGGATGTAGCAATCGCAAAACTCAAAAATAGATCTATTCGCTCGATGTTTAGGTGGATCCGGCTCGGGGTGCATGTAGACATAGATGCTGCAGCTCACACGCACCACTCTCCGACTGCAGCATCCTCATCCTCACTTGTGGCCCTTGTCCGAGACAGTGAGGGCTCTACCTACATATGTTCGGAGAACACATTCACAAGTAGACTTTCTACAGACAAGCAAAGGGCCGCACAAGGGCTTGTGCTGCGGAAGTAGCACTTGCGGAGATGTTGCGATGGCTGGTTTCACGAAATCTGCCGTCGAGGATTCAGATGCTCTTGCTGTGGCAGCCGCTTCCCTCAATGTTCGTTCATGATTAGGGTGATGAAGGCATTCCTGCATCAGTTATGGGGACCCGTCTAGCGAACCTGCGACACCCCGAACTATAAAATCAGCTTGCATTCCGCGTTCAGTCTTTTCTTCGGAACTAGGCTCTGCACCAGACCATGGAAGCAGTTCCGTGCAGTGAAAGAACTGGCCACCTTTTAAGCCGTCACCTTAGTGAGATTTGTTAGCTGCAAGCCCCAAGTCCTGACAAGCCTAAACGAAGGGTTCAGAAGGAAAGTGATGCTGCTGGAGACCCCAAGGAATAGGATCCAAGAGTTGTCAGGGCCACCTTGCACAACACCCTGCCGACACCGAGCTGTTGGACTTCTCTGAAGCAGGAGTTGCATTAAGAACCCCAGTGGTCCCTGAACCTCTCCAGGACACGTGAAAGAACAACGAGTGCTTACCGACGCAAATGCATGAAACGAGAATCCGACAGGCTTCTGTTAGTTGCACAGCCTTGAACTCCAGGCGCCATACCCGCGTGTGACTTGTTCTATCTCAGAACAAATGATCCTGTTTCTTCGAGGCTACCTTACAAGGGGGTAGCAAGCTCCAGGTGAAGAAGCACTGCCAGAGCAAGCTGGATGCTGTAAATGCTCAGCTCGATGCGGTGTGGTGTGGACTTCTGCAGCAGGACGGTGTTTTGTGTTGCCCTTATCAAGCTTGTGTTGTGATGAGTAGCCCACATCAGGTTCACCTTTGTCATCGCCATGTTCTTGATTTCACACCAACACAATGGCCAGCAATCTAAAATGTTCGCGGCACATAGGATGCAAATACGGCACAAAGCGCTATCGCAGCGTTCTCACGGCATTTACTGTGAAAGCAAATGTGCATAAAGTGCCGTCTTACGTTATTACCACAAATTGACATGTTCTCATGTTTCAAGCTGATGTGTTGCCGCTGTTTATGCTTCTGGTACTGGTGGTGTTGCGCTGCTTTGCTGGTGCTGCTAGTGGTGCAGCTTTCAGCATGGCTTTTGTTGCCACTGCTGCTGTTGCTGCTCTTCTTATCTGTAGTTGAGCTAGTCTAGGTATTCATGGTCAGCCTTTCCTGTTTGTCATTCTTCTTCAGAGTGAGTCAGACTGTAGTTGCGGCCGCGGCAGTCGTGGCCTTCGTCGTGACCAGCGCAGAGTATGATATATATATATATATATACACATACATATATAGATAGATAGATAGATAGATAGATAGATAGATAGATATATAGATAGTCGCATTGCTAGTCGGACCAGTTGTGTCAGTGGTCCTGTTGGTCGTAGTGCTTTACAGGGGCAACAGTAGCGGCAGCGATGGTAGCACGTGGTAGGAATAGTGAACCGCCTAGTCATCTTCGTTGTGGGAGTGCATGGTGTCAGTGATGCAGAAGCAAAGCCAAAACCAGCAGTTGTTCTCATGAGTTATGTCGGGTGGAAAACATTCGTGCCCAGTGCATACTTTCACATGGCCCCATCCAGGTGGCTCAGGCGGAGTTCGTCGCAACAGTGGCAGAGGCCATAAAAAGCAGAAGTGTCCTACGCCTCATCGATGCCACCGTGTGCTTGAACTCCGCCGGCACACCCGTCTCAGCTCTTCTGCAACGCTTGGCATTCCAGGCCAGTGTTTTGGAGGAGGCAGGGCTGGTATGGAAATCCATCATGGACGCCATCCTCGAGCGAAAGGCCGAGGATCTTGAGCTCTGGGCAGAGCAGGCGAAGATCGCAGGCGAAAGTGTTGAGATGGAGCTGGCCTTTGCGCAGAGCCTGCGCCAAGCAGATGCTTGCTCGCAAGAGTAGATTCTGTCTTGTTCTGCGCGATCCTCTTCAGGCGTACAACAGGAGACCTGTCCTGCCCCCCTAATCCGAAGGACCCGGATTATTTTCAACATGGGCTCTATATCTGTGAGCTCCACTGAGGAAGAGAGCAGCATGCACTCCTTTTCAAAAGCTTCCACCTGCAGCGACACGAGCTTGACAGAAGTGGGAGTTGATGAAGGCTCTGCGCGGTGAGGGATGAGATCCTCACCTATAAGATTCAGGATTCCAGGCTGTTTGGATCCTGTAGACATGAAGCTCTTGTAGCATTCGCTTTCCTGCATTCGAAATGCCTCTCCATGGCAGCAGTCATGATCGAGAGAGCTGAATCTTTGGGGCCCACATCCACAAAGTCGCGCAAACCCTGAAGGTGATGAAGTCAGGACGACGGCAACTAGGCCGTCGCGTCCCAGCTGGCGTGCCACGAAGGCGAAACACAGCGGGTCAATTTGGCCCCAGGTCAATCCAACACCCCAAGCCAAAAACCTCAGCCAGAGACTCTCACTGTTGCTCAACTTCTTGCGGATCCATCAAGTCAGGTCGGCCTCGCTGTTTGAAGCCTGTTTCTCTCTGTCGTATTATGGCAACAACGCCTCATGTTGGCCCTCTTTCTGTAGAATTGTGGTTTTGAGGTCTGGGTGCGAATCTGCACAGCAAACTGCACGAGGTGTTGGGGGTGGCGGAAGAAAGACAGACAATGCAGAGAGCAAGCGGTGTGCCAGGTACGGTGTGAGCTTGAATGACAGGACAGAAGGGGCGTGCGGGCAAGCACACTCCCGGGCATAAAGATTTGAGTCACTAATATAGAAGCCTAAATAAATACCAATACTCTTTGGGGGTTCCTTATTATGAACTGTAGTAAAATGGGCCCCAGAACCCTATTCTAATTGTTAAGGCCCCGGCCTACGCTATGCACAGGTGCCTGTTGTGTTTTGTCATCCTGAAATTCCTGGCCTGGGCCTTCAACTGAGGTGACCATCGCTTCCAAAGACAACCTCAGAGGAAAAGTGCCGGAGTTTGACAGCTTCCTATTTCAGGAGCGGGTTTAGGGGTTTAGGGTTTGGGGTTTAGGGAGGTTTTGATGGATCCATATTACAGGGATGGTGGGCGCTGAATAGACCGGTGACGATTGCACGGTCCCTTCGTCAGGGCGCTGGCCGGCACCTCACTCCCTGCTGAAAAGGGTGCAAGGCACGCTTAGACAAGTGATACAAGTGTTACCATCTGACACTTATAAGTCCCATCTGATGCTGGTAAGTTGAATCAATCAGTTCTTGGGGCTTCCACCCCGTTAAAACGAGCTGCGCTGAAATGCACTGAGCTTTTGCAGGAACCCGATTCGCCCGTCTGGGTTTACGGTTTGGCAAAGAGCACACAAAAATAAGCAGTACAGTGCGGTACAGACTCACCCTCAAAGCTCAGACTCCCGAGCCCGAAACCCCAAACTTCGTAGGTCCCGTTTATAGGGTTTAGGGCCAAAAAAATCCAATCTCTGAAGTCCGAACTCCTGAAGCCTGAAAATGCCGTTGTGTAGGACCCCTAGAGTACCCTCATATTGCCCTTGTGCACGGTATTCCGAAGTCCTCAACCCTAACCTCTGATCTAAACCATATAACCCCTAAACCCTCAACCCTCATTTCCTTACCGATGATTGCCTGCTCGGCTTCGTGTTGACCTGCATTCAGGAGTCGGATTCAGCGGAGGTGCCTCCGGAGGCGCGAGTTTAGGCGTTAAGGGTTCGGGTGCTGTGGTTGTCGGGTTTAAGGTGCAACGAGGGCCCGGCAGTGCCACTTATGTCGGCCCCAGTCGGACGAATGAAAGACTAACCTTTACGTGCGCGCCCCTTCGTCAGCAGAGGCTGCGCAGTCCTGGGAATCCAGCACGACGCATCCTCACTCCCCGCCAGAGTCCGCATCGCCGGACCTTTCTCCTCAGCCGACGCTTGGGCAACACTTCAACACTGAAGACCTTATAACCACTAATTACGCAGGTTGTGTCGGACACAGGGCACAGGCTCATAATGATTGGGAAACTGTCGTATAAGGCATGTAAGCTTCCTGCAGTCGGTGCAGTACTGCGTAGAGCTATAGCGCACGACATGTCTCGTGGCTAAGGGGACGTAAGGGGACGTCATAGGTCCATTAGGTGTGCTTGTCAGTCGACCTGCGTCTGGCAGTTGCTGTAGCGCTGCGACATACTGCAGTGACGGGCTCCCTCAGGCCTATTCTGAAACGGTTCAGGGTTTAGGGGTTTAGGCTTTAGGGTTTAGAGTTTCAGTTTAGGGTTTGGGGTGAACCGCCTTGCCTCCGAGAAACAAGAGCTCAGGTCTTGGCGGAGGGCTGAGGAGCTTCGCACCGATGCCCCCAGAGCACGTCCACCTGCGCCGTACCTTGGCGCTTCACTGCAGGTCGAAGCGAACACGCAGTTTTGGCCATAGATTGCCTAATATTCAGCATTCAGAATAGAGAACAGGCACATGTCATATAAGATTCGGATCTACTGCACGGAAAGATTGAGGTCGTGTGGTGGTCGTGGGTAGTTGCGCAAGAGGTTAGCAGCTTCCTCGAATGAGCTGCCGCCAGATCAGCCGGAGTTTTGCTGAACCTGTCGCTTCAGGGCCTCGACGACGCACATTGCATTACTGTCGAAAGTCCTAGTCCTAATCCCTATATTAATCCCTGTTAAAGTCTGTAACTCAGAATCTCGTCAAAATTGCTGAGGCCCCGGTGTCTTTAAGTATTCCTCGATTCGCTTCACGCATTTCAGTTCGCGGTTTCTCTGTTTCACTCTATAGGGGGGATGGGTTTCACTCGCTATTCTCATCTCTTTGATGTCCGCCCGTCCCTCTCCCTCCTCTCCCTCCCTCCCTCCCTC